TAAATGCAGACTCCGAGCCTTCTTCAGCAAAAACATCAGCACGATCGACCCCAATTTCTGGCTTTTCGACAGCTATACAAAGTTCAAGATACGAGCTGTCATCTTCCCATCAGTATCAACACCATCTCTAGCCACCTACGGTACAGCCTCAATTCTATCAACCGGCAACTTGTATCCAACCTCTAAGTCAAACTTCCGACCTTGAACCTAAGCACCCGAAGCCAAACATCGTCACCGTCGACCCTTTCACCACAGGCCCTTCAAGATCTAAAGCGGAACGTGAACTAAGAGACGTAACCCATCGATTAGCAAAAGCACAAAGGGAATATGAAAAGGCTAAAGAGAAGGAAAGGGAAGCAAAAGAAGAACTTGAGCGTACCCGTAACTACAATGAGAACTTATACATGAATTGGAAGCAGAGAATGGAAAAATCGTATCAACGACAGGAAGATATTCGGGCTTTGGAAAAAAAGGTGAGGAGGTTTAAGTTGGAGGCGAGGAGTGCTGGGGAGAGAGATTATTGGGAGGATACGAAGAAGAGGATGTCGAATAGACTGAGGGAACGTGGTTGAGAGTGAGGCAAGATACTCGCATTTTTTCTTTCTTTTTTTCCTTTTTTTGGTAAGCCTTTTGGTTTCTTTGGGGTGGCGCTGGAAGCTTAGAGAACCCTCCCTTTATTTCATTTATTTTGTTTTGTTCTATTTAGATTGTTTGGTTTAACGTAGTTCAACCCCTATTATCAGTCAACCGGTTCACAAATAACCTCGTGCTTCCCTTTTTTCTTATCATGTTGATAGCTGTACGCCCTATGATGCCACATTACGCATTTACTAGGTAATATCGGTGTAACCTTTTTCCCATTGGCTTGAGAAAACAATTTTCTGGTTTCTGCCGTTACGGTTCTGGCTTGTATTACCAGATGGCCATGCCTCTGCCTGCAGGATAGGTCCAGTCATTCGGGTTCCACCCCTTGAATAAAACCCCATTCCAAATGTCAGTTCTCGTCAACATACCTCACAACCAAATCTCCAACCTTGGAAGCTACCACGATGCCCTCAGAAAGATTGAACCACTCCAGATCCCAACCTTAACCCCAACGCTCCACAGCATCAGCACCTCCAACTTCCCACTACACCGAACAACTACCACCGACTCCTCTCCCACCCTACACTTCTCAACCACAAACTTCTCTTCCGCCATCTCCAACTACACACTCCCGTCCCCAACCATCTCCAACGAATGCCTACTCTACAACTCCCAAGTCCCTCACTTTCTCTCCCTCCACCAGTCAGACGTACCTTTCATGCATCAGAATAACCAATTATAAATCTTGAGCTGTGTCGACAACGACTACAGCAGGCAAGTCCCGAAGCCCTTGCAGAAGAAGTAGAGCGAAAAAAACAACGACTAGTGGAAGCAGAAAATCATTTGTCGTGCTTGAAGAGGCAGTGGAAGAGATTACTAAGCAGAGAAAAGATTTGATAAAGAGATATAATCTCGTGCAGGACGATGTATGAGGCTGTTTGTGATGCTTATAGTGCGTATTATTATCCGTGGTGAGGGAGTTGAGTTCGTCAAAAAGAAGTCAGGAAGTTTAGGAAATGGAGAGACTTTTGGTTTTGCTGATGTCAAGTTATCAAAACATACAAGCAACAGTCAGTTCACACATCCACAAGATAAATATTTAAAAACGTCAAAAATATTCACATATTCTTTAATATATACAAAGAAGTGATATAAACCCAATCCATTTCCAATCCTCCACAACCTCCAAAATCTACCATCTCTCTCCTCCCCAACTCATCCCCCTTCTCCCCTTACACGCACTGGGAATAATACTGATTAATAGCATTGCAAGTCGACCCAGCAGCGCAGCAAGTCGACCCAGAAAACCCATTACCACCGCATTGTCCCCACTTGGCAACCGGGTTCGTGCATCCAGGCGCAGGAGCATTAGTAGGCTGAGTAGCCGGTCTAGTAGAAGTAGCCAAAGTAGTAGAAGCAGGAGGAGCCTCAATACCACCACCATTAGATCCGCACGAGAACACAGAAGGTCCAGGCACGATATAACTGTTAAAGTTGTTGTAGATATTCGCGGTATAACCGGGGTCAGTTGCCTTGAAAGCACCCGGGATGAGCGCAGTAGGCGATGGGTTGGTGTTTCCACCTCCCGTCACTCTGATTTGAGCGCAGGAGATGTAGAACTGAGGAAGAGCGGCGGGATATGGGTTGTGAATGCCGATGTTTTGAATACGGAGGAGGTATTCGCCGTTGGGGATGCAAACGGGGAGGTTGGCGGTGTAAGAGCCTGAGAGGGTCCATTGAGCACCACCGCCGCCAAAGGTCGGGCCCCAGTCCTTGATCTTGAACCAAGGGCCGCTTCCGTCGTAGTCGGCTGCGGAGCCGGGAGCCTTGGAGAGGTAGACGGAGACTGGGCCTTGGTGGTAGACCGGGGTGTCGAGGGTGAAGGTGAAGGAGTCACCGGCGCGGACTTCGATGGTCTCGGTGTTGCGGCCGCTGGCGCCTCCTTCGTTGCAGCGGAGGTCGTTGGAGCTGAGGTCCGTCACGGGGGAGTTGTAGTTTGTGTTTTGACGGATGTACTTCCAGACGGGGTGTTTGGTGCCACCGGTGGTGAGCTGCTGGAAGATGTAATGGCCGGAGACCTGGCTGACGGCCAAGGAGGCGACGGCTGCGGTCAAGAATCCCTTCATTTTGACGGTTGGGTCTGATCAAGTCTGGCGTTGAGGTTGACTGGACTGACTGTCAGGAGAGACGCTACGAGAGATTGGAGAACAAGTTTCTGTTTATATACCTGACTCCTGAAAAAGATCATCCCCACATGAGGCAGGTGACTGTGTGAGTCTGTCAACGGCCCGCCTACCCCAAGCATAGAAAAAAACAGTAATCACGGATGATGATGTCCGTTTTTTCAGGTGGTAATCGCTTCATGTTGGCCCACCAATTGGGATCATTTGACCCGGCACTTCATGAATTTATCCGCCCGAAATTCCCATGCACCCCACAAACCGGGTTACTTTGATGAAACCATATCTTTCATACCCGGAATTCCTCGCCGACTACTTTCAGGGGGGTTTGTTCATGCGGGAACATGGAATCGGGACGATCAACCGTATATTTTTGGTTAGCTCAACCGTTTCAAGCGCGCCAGTGTTGAAGAAGAGAGGGAAGCTTTTTTTTTTCGCCAAAAAGCTTTTTACAGTCAAACTAGACTCAAAAGGATCGATTTCGAGGATTTTGTATCTCCAAAATTCATTCCATCTAGGACTTACGTCACCGATGAGTTCGTTCTCATGGTCAGGTAGCAAGGCCCAGCCGTTGGCGAGAGTGGGGTGTAATATATGTGCATGATGATTGAAGGAGTCTTCGAGAAATCCGCTAGGGCGTGTCCGCGTGCGTGGCTTTGAAATCCAATATCGAGCCGCTTTACCAAGACTTTTCGGGCTCAAATTTCCAGGTTGAGGGGACGAAAAGGACGATTCGGGCCTTTCCTTTCGATGCGGCATGATGTGGATGCCTTCATGGCGGGATCATTTTGGAGGCAGCCAGTATTCTATCATTTGATTCACGTCTCTACATCAAGATGAAACAGGTTTCTGCGGATTGACGGAATAACTACACCCTCGATGTAGAGGATATACGTAGTTTGAGCGGGAGGGAGGAGAAATCATCGGATGGACGGGCAAGACGACCCGTACATTGCTATCGATCCAGGATGTATCACCGTGTATACATTTGACGATCAGTATCATGTTGATTGGTTGAAAGGCTCTGTTTGCCCAAAGAGGAAAATGTTTGCTTCTTAGACCCGCTTTTGTTTGTTCACCTCTTACACATTGACGACACTCAAAGACTCTGACGGATTAGAGTTTACTAAGAAGGCGATATTTTTGATAGAGACAACCATATCACCAACTCCAAGTCAACCAGGTTACCACAATCATAATGAGCTACTCAAACCTTGAAAGCATTTTGTCATTTATTTTAGTTAAAAGCTTTGATAATGGCACTGCAAATGTCAAGGATAATTGATTTAGAGTCACTCTCATTCTTCGCCATACCAGCTCACTTATAAAACGCCAGAACTCAACATAACCTTCAACATCTTCAAAACCACCAGTGATCCCCGACCGAGAAAAAAAAGGTAATCACCCAAGCCACAATGCCGTACATGACTTCAATCTCCGCCTAGGTCAGAAGACTACTCAATCGTGAAGCAGCTCGTACAGAAATTCTGCATAATTCCCAAATAAATTTTGCAAGATGCCTGAACCCCGGAGCCCGGGGTTCAAATCCCAAATCACTCATTCTTTTTTATCTTTTTGCTTGTATCCGGGTGATGTTGGCTGTTCCGATGTATGAGAGGGTTGGAGGGGTTGGTGTAGTGGTTGTGAAGGCTGGAAGAGCGGTGACGAGGATAGTGGTAATGGTGCTGAGGAAGAACTTCATTTTGATATGAATGTGATGCATCTCAGATGGTGAAATCTGCGATGCTGTGAGTTATCGGAAGGCCAAATGGCCGGCATCAAAGTGCATTTTATACCTTAACAACACAGGGTGAAAGAAGTCTTCATTCTGACTATCATCACTTACCTGTATTCGTATCACGAACCCTGCCAACCACATTGCCGTTGATTTCTCGGTCTAAAGTCCTCATAAGTCCGGGCTACTTACCAGAACGATTTTGATGGACAAATGCCGAGGCATTCACCAGTAGTCCCCAATCCTAATTTGGCAAACAATTCCAATACCTTCAAGCTCAACCAACAAGTTCTGTTGGCTCCTGTTTCCTGAACAGGGTCGGTGTATTACTAATTCAGCTTGGTCATGATTTCCAACATCTCAGCCATCTTTTCTTCATCACAAGCGAGATTCGTCCCACAGATGCCATTCTCAACAAGCCTCTTTCCATCATGTATTACAGCCACGGAAGGAGTAAGACAAAAATGTGGGGTCATCATGGCTGATGAAAAGATAAAAAATGGATGAATAGGGAATCGAACTCTAGACCTTCCACAAGCTGGACCACTCGTATAGTGGTTGCAAAGCGGACGCTCTACCAACTGAGCTATTCACCCTGATATGAGACTTACGGACAATGTGTGAGGCGTTGATGGTGGAGGCATAAAATGACATTATACGTGGCCGTCATCATTTTTGCTGACAATATGATCCACTGATAAGGAATGTAAAGCCCCTCCCATGGTTCTAGTCATGTTAGGTAGTTGATAGTCTGAACTATAATTCACCCTCTCCCCTCCCATTACCATCGGTCCCGGCCCTCGCGGAAACCGCAACTTCTTTCCCATCACAGATGGATCATTCACTGGACCCCTCTTCACAGCAAGCATCCCACCCTACGGCGGAGACTGGAGTTTGGGAGACCTAACAGCTGGAACTTTTTACGTCGATACAAGATATCAATTATTTACTGATGACGGAGCAAATATTTATGTAGAGGCCAACGGGCCTCAACAACCCGAGGAAGGCCTCGTGCATACATGAGTCAAGTTTGAGACAGGGGATGCGAGGTATTACTGGATGACTAATATTGTTGGGGTTGCGATTGTTACGCCTGGGGAAGGGAATGAGTATATTGTTGTCGAAATGTGGGCGGTGTCGACGCAAGGAGAAACGCAGGGGAAGGGAAAAGGAAAGGGCAAGGGCGAGAATTGATCAAGTAAAGATTGTGCAGCTGTGCAATAGGTGGCCAATAGTTTCTCCCCAAAAGTCAATAAACCAATGTTTACCTTGTATAAAACAGACCTCTTCTTTGTCTACCTGAGACAACGTCCCACATAATTTGACGTTTTGAGAACAAAGAAAAAGTCACACAACTTGGATATTAACACACTCACAGCTAGTTTTGCAGACCCTAACAGCTCCTTTGACTTTCCATCGACAAAAACACAAACAAACCGACATCATGCCGATCGACACAAAGGAGCGGTTTTCGCTCCTCCCTCATATCTTTGCCGGGGATTTGTTAATGTTTCCTTTCATCGACTACGATCGTCGACAATATTTAAATCTGACCATCTGGCCGGACGCATTACCCCCAATTAATCCCGAAGATCCAGACTCAAACACCCGAATCCGGCATTACTGGGACCACTGCGTCAGTACGTTTCTTCCTCGGATTTGCAACTTTTTGGATCTCGACGTTGGCGCATTTACTGTCGATCCAAACACAAATGGGGGAGAGTTGATTAGCTCGAGCAGTGATCCAGAGGAATGCTCTGCGTACTCGTTTAGTTACCCGACACCCATCGAGCTAGGCCTTTCTTACAATGTCAAAACCATCAAGAGATTCGAGCTCGTCGAGGTTGAACGGTTAGATCGATGCACGGACTTGGTGTCCTTCCGCGACGATGGCAGCGACGAGGTCGATTTAGCCATCTTCAAATACTACTTTTCCTCAGAGGGCGTCGTCAAAACGATCCATGACATACAAGCCCTATCTCAATTACAAAATCACCCAAATATTGCACATCTTACCCACCTCGTTCTTGATGACACTGGTCAAGTCGTCGTGGGCTTCCTCCTCAAAAACTACCTTCCCACCAAACCCATCTTCAACAGGGCCACGCCCGCTTCCTCATTCAAGCTTTCTGGTCTGTCACATCTCATTGAGCTCATTGACTCCCTCAACCTCACCTACGGCCTGGTCGGTGAAGGGTTCTGGTTCACAAATATGTATTGGGCCATCAAGTTTGACGAATTGGTTCTCGACTCATTGGTTCTGTCAAGACCCATCACACCGGAGAACACGCTCCGCGACGTCTACCTTTCTGTTGTGGCCATTTACGAGGAAATAACCCACGAGTACTCCCACACTGACTTGTCAAACCTGTCGCATGCCAACGCCAAGGTCCGAGCCACGCAGATATTGGGAATGAGGGACGGTGACTGGCCACAGCCACCTGATGTCAGACTTGAGGGCGGGGATATCGAGGATTTTAGAAGAACGCTGCAGGATTGGGTCTTTCAGAGAAAATGGGTGCATTTTCCTGTGAGGCATGGAACGTCCAGAGAGCAGCAGCGGGACGTGTCAGATGAAGCGGAGGACTCGGGAGTTGGGGAGAAGAGAAAGGAGGCTGTCGAGTATGTGCAGTCGAATAAGCGACCGAGGAGGTTGCAGGATGAGCTGGATGAGGCTTATTTACCTGCGTCGGAGAAAAAGATTGCTTTGAAGGAAGTGAAAAAGGTGATTGACGGGAAGGAGTACTTGTTGTGGGATCCAAAAACTTGGTTAGTTTTTTTACTCGACAGAAAGAATGGAGAAACTGACTCGTATTTTTTGAAAAATAGGAAGCGGGATGCAAATCTGCCGCAGCCAGTGGATAATCCGGTCGTGAATTGGTTGCGGGCTCCGGAAAGTAAGATGGAAAGGCGGGGACCTAATCTGGGGAAGACGGCGTTGGTCGTGGGTTCAAAAGATGACGGTGAAGGAGAGGAAGAGCATGACGAGTATGACGGGATATTAATTGCGGCTCGGGAAATACTTGCGGCGAGAGCGACTGCCCGAGCAGAGAAGGAGCAGGAAGAGGAGGAGAAGGGATACGAAAGCGACGATGAGGGTGCGAATGTCGACGCGAATTTGGAGGCAGAAGAAGAACCTGGCCAGTTCCCACAGTCAGAGTAGAGCAGTCAATGGATTGGTTCTTATTTGTTTGTTCAAATTAAACCAGCTAATTGTACTCACAATTTCAAAAAGAACCAATTTGGTTGCCCCACCTCGAGCTTGCCTATGCACTATTGCCTGCGCTCCGTACTTGCCCCCAACCTGGCAGCTCCCCTTTGTTCCAACAGCAACAAGAAAAGCGACTTTGAATTGCATACAACCCTCAATTCCCTCCTTTCTTCTCTCTTTATTCCACTTTCCAACTTCATCATCAAGTTTGACCATGGAACGCATCCAATCACAACCTACCAAACCATCGACGATGAAGCCATCACAACCCTCGACGGCGTCAACAACCACGACCAACACCGATTGCAACTCGCTCGGTCGTCTTTACCACAAGCTGCCTAATGAGGTTCGAGTCATGATCTGGGAGTATATCGCGGCAGACAATCTTATTCCCCAAATCTATGGCGATCCCTGGTTTTCCCTCCCTCCCTTGCGTCGCGAATACGACCCTCGATTTTTTTGGTAGTTTAAGTCAATTTTGACTTGCACTTCCATGTCCCAACTTCGAAGTTCCTGCTGGGCTGCACGCCAGGGCCTCACCAATAAATGGGGCGAATTGACACGCTACAACCCATGCCGCAGTTCACGCATGGCCCTCCTCAGAAACGAAAAGAATGCGAAGACCTTCACTATTGATGTTGAATGCAACATCCTCTACCACAACTCCGACTGGGGCACTGGCCAGGCTATGCTTGGATATTTAAAGGCAGAGGCAGATAACTCTACCCATCCAACATTGCACTCCGGTATATCTAGAGACAAGGGAAGCGAGACCGATGCAACGGCCGGGGCCATAAGGATCTGAATAGGAGCGAGGGAGGAAAAGACATGTGCATGTCGTGCTTGAGTGATTTTGCAAACCAAGCCGAGAATCTCAGGAGATTTTACCTCGTTGTCGAGGAGCAGGACGCTTCTTATATGGGTCTAATCGAAGGGCAGGAGGCGGATCAGAGAGCAGTGTTGAAGAAAGGCCCTCCAATTTTTGAGAGCGTCAAGAGTACGTATTTTGTCGTCGGCGCGCCATTCAAGGGAGATGTTCCAGAGGAGCTGAAAGAAACGCACGAAATGGTGGTCGCTGCGTTCCGAGATCTAAGCAAGGCCCAGAGGGATTATGTAAGTCGGATAGATATTCTTGGGAAGCTGTAGGCTTTGCTAACTGCTGGTTTAGGTGACGAGAACAGATTTCAAGAAATGCGCTCGGCGTGTGTCATTTATGGTATTATTCAGCGTGAATAAGGCCTGACGGACCTATGTCGACATTAAACGGGTTGTCTGGGAAGGAATGCCGGTCGGAGATGGTGCCTGGACAGCTTGTTTCACGACTGACAAATCTCTCAACCTCTGCGATTTGGGTTTTCGGACGTCCGGAAATCATGACCGATATTCAACAGACATCCCCACAAACCGTTTTTTTTCCTCTTTTGGTTGCACTCTCCACCATTTTGTCAAACGGCCATCCAAAAATGCAGATCAAGCCACAAGAAGCACATCACATTGCCGTCCTCGCCGGGCAGGGTGAAATTGCCAAGCTCAAAACAGCTGTACATGAGCTCGCCGGCAGGGAAGAAGCAACACCTGGAGACATTATCATCGCATGCAAGGACGATTTTCAACAAACTGCTGCGCACATTGCTGCTAAATCTGGACAAACAAGTAAGAAAATTTCCCGCTGAAGACAAACAAAAACCAGACGACTGACACCAAACAAACAGAATCCATCTTGGCGCTTGCGGATCTGCTTGAAACAGAGGAAAGAAAGACCATATACTTTAACATGGCGAACCGGTTCACCGGGGATCGACCAGTTCATACAGCAATGAGACATGGGTATTTGGACGTCTTCAAGACTTTGGTTCAAAACGGGGCGGATCCGACGGTTAAGAATCGGTTTGGGGATAAGGTGGAGGATTATCCGGGAGATTTTGAAGTGGAGGAGGTCCAGAGGGTTGTGGAGGAGTTTAGGGAGAAAGTTGATAAGATAGCTGCGTAGATGCCATTAATAATTTTGCTATTAAACATGAAAAGAATTTTATACAGTGATTTTATAAATGGCGGGGAGGAGTGGGCTGAAGAATATTGGACGTCGTTGGACTTGTGGTTTGCTCAAAATGGAATGAGAAAACAAGATAAGCAAAAAAGAAAGAAAGGAATCAAATAAATAAAGAGTAAAATGGGAAAATAGAAAAGCAATAATGTCGTGATACCTCATCACCAAAAATTATCATCTCTCCTCCGGGAAGGCTCGAACTTCCAACCTCCTGATTAACAGTCAGACGCGCTAGCCAATTGCGCCACAGAGGAGCAACCAGTAATATATAATTACATCCTGCAAGCGGAGTTTCATTTGCAGGTTTAAATAGAATAAGTGTATGTGGACACCTGTGG